CCGGGAAACCCCCAGGGACTTGCCACTCTTAAACCTTAAACTGTAACCCTGAACCCCTAAAGTCTTAAACCCTAAACTGAAACCCCCAAACCCTAAACCCCCAAACTCTGAACTCCAAGCTCTATCCCCTAAAGACCTCCGGGTCCCCGAACTCCTGCCCTAAGCTCGAAACCCCACCCTTCACGGCCGAACGGACAAACCCTAAAGGTTTAGGGGTTTAGGGTTTAGGGCTTAGGATTAGAGAGAGAGAGAGAGAGAGAGAGCTGAGGAAAGCATCGCCACACCTACCGCCACGAAAAGGGCCGATGTATTGTGCACCTTGGCTTTCGAAGTCGATCTTAGATTCAGGTGTTGGCTTCAGGGTTTATGGCCTTGAGGTTATGGTATAGGGTTTAGGGTTTAGGGTTTAGGTTACTTCAGTTTTCGGCTTCGAGGTTTTACGCTTCGGGGATGTAGGATCTGGGTCTTCGGGTGTGTTGTGCAACTTGGATACTGGCCTGGTCAGAGGGAATAAAACTCAAAGACGGGGAGCCTAACTTTTACCATACTATAGGAGCCTTAATAATTACCGATACTGTTTTGGGGGTTCCTTATTATCACTATAGTATAATATACCCCTGAACCTTTCTCATGAGTAAGGCCCCTATATGTTAGTCGTCTCTATTTAAGGAATTCATCAATCAGGGGCTTTACATTTTTCACCCTAAGCTCCACACCCCAAACCACCCTAAACCCTAAGCCCAACCTCAAACGCGAAACCGTGAGCCCGACGCCTTATGCCCTACAAGCCCTGCAGCCCCGAGCCCCACTGATTGAATCAGCCAGCGTAGCCGAAAGGTTTCATAGACCTCAAACCACCAAAAACCTTGAAGTCCTGTAACAGTTTAGGGTTGGGGTTTAGGGTACCTATAAACACTAAGCCAGTTCTGACAATCTAATTCGACCTAAACCCGAAGGCGTTTGGGGATTATGGTCTTGATTCCCCCATTCCCCCAATCCCCGCACCGGAGTCACGGTCGAAACAAATCCCGTTGGTCTAGGCTCCTACACCCTAAACCTTAGACCCCACTCTTGTATTTTGGACCTAGCCACGGTTTCCAACAGGCTTCGGCCACGACTGCATGCATAGATTGAACAGCGTCACGGGAAGAGTTTGTGTGGGCTTGGCCGATTTCCGATACTCCGCCCGATACCCCCCAACGGTCGCACATAGCTCGACAGCAGCTATAGGAGGTAATGATTTGTTTTGCGTGGGGTCTTGCATCGCTTTTGGCCGTCTCGAGAGATGCTGCAATGCACTCCTCACGTGTTGGCAAGCGTGCCGTGAGTACACACGCATATGTTTGTGTGTATATTTTATATTTTTATATGTATATATATATATACACATACATATGTATGTATGTATGTGTAATGTAATGTATGTGTAATGTAATGTATGTGTAATGTAATGTATGTGTAATGTAATGTATGTGTAATGTAATGTATGTGTAATGTAATGTAATGTAATGTAATGCAATGTAATG